ATGTCTCATAGTTCTTTCAGAGTCACTGGATCAAAATCCTGGAATTCCCACAATAACAGCATTGTAGGTCTACCTACAGAAAATGGACTACAGCAGTTCAAGAAGGCAGTTCACCATCAGCTCCTCAAGGGTAAATAGGGATTGGTAATAAATACTGGCCCAGCCAGCAACATCTCATGAATGAATTTTTAAAAATCTAGTTTCAAAATCTAATTTTTGTGTTTATGATGGTGTATGTAAGGGGTATTGTGCTGTAAACCTCTGGGGTAGCTGTTGAATAATAAATAATCTTATTTAGTTTTACATTCACAAAGTCTTCGTTGGCTGTAATCAGGAGGGCAGGAGTTAGGCCAAGTAGAATTGAAATCAGGAAGCACACTTTTATATGTTCCTCATAAGCTTATTTCCTACCTTCATCTCTTCTGAAAAATATTAACTTTTTGCTCAGTAGAATTCCACAAAGCTGGTACTTCCCAGTGACCTGTCCAAATGCCAATTGATGTTACAGAGGAAATTCAGTGATTCCAAACACCTGATGGGTGTTATAATTAAATGACATTTAGGCTGAAGATAAATCATTCTCAAACTTTTACTCGCTTAGTATACAACCATTAGAAGTTCACAATGTTAAGTTATTGGATACCATGAATCGAGACTGTACAGAATCTGAGATTTTGGTGACAAGGTCACAAGTGTCAGTGTCTGTCAGCACAGAGAATCACAGTCCCCTGTGTTGCTGATACTTGTCATCGACAGGTATCTCTGTATTAGATGCTGGATCTTGAATTGAGAATGTAGCCCTTGTAGCTTTCCTGCTTCTCTATCCTCTTCAATGCCCTCCTGACCCTGAGGATTCCCCTGGGTTCAAAACCTGAAAGTCATGCCCCCAATGCCAGCCACATCCTTTCTTTTAGACCGTCCTATTGTGATTGACAGCTTTGCCTCTGGTCGTTCTGCTCCCCTCAAGTGTTTAGAAACTGATACCCTTGGCCCACTTTACATTCAGTAGTTTAATTGTCTTCCATTGAAGTGCCTGCAGGATTCCAGTCTCACCAATCCCTGCACCCTAGTGATTATCGCCGGGCCTGATAAGTACCCAGAAATTGCTGTGACGTTTTTTGCCGGCAATTTCAGATACTCAGTCAGAGGAAACGTCCTTTCTGCAACCATTCTTGTGAGCCCTTGAGGAATTTTGTCCAATGAGATCACCTCTTAATCTTCTAAACTCTAGACAATACAAGTGTTCTCAATCTCTCTTCTCGGGACAGACCCTCTATCCCAGGAATTAGTTTGGTGAACCTCTGCAATACTCTGTCTATGGCAATTATATTCTTACTTAGGTAAAGAGACCAAAGTTATACAAAGCACTCCATGTTTATTAAAGCAGTATTCTATACAATTGATGTGAGACATCTTTACTCCCACACCTAAATGTTCTTGCATGTTAGCTCTCACTGACTTACATACAAGGACTCTAGAACCCTTTGGACATTCACACTTCTCAATATCTGACCATTGAAGAAATAGCCCACACTTCCATTCCTTGTACCAAATTAGATGACCTCACACATATCCACATTGGGTCACTTGATCTCAGCTGGCCAGCAGGAAACATGCTGCAATGTGTTTACACTAAGCTAGAGACGTGAAAATTTAGCTGTAGATTCTGCTTCTTGTTTATTTATAGAAATTCCCATCAGAGAGAATGCAGGTAAATAATTTTCTCTGGTGGATTGGATGATCCTTGGCTGGGATGGTCTCCAATGTTGAATGACTCAGACCAGACTTTCCAATACCTTCTACTCTCCCACTCCATTATTTATTTGCAAGTGGATCTGGGATAAGCAGAAAGGGGAAAAAAAAAGCTTGCAAATGCAGACTGCTGTATAACCACTAAGTCTTTCTCCTCACTGCCTGTTACTAGAATGTATTGGCCTTTGTGACAGAAATGAGAAGAATGCACCATTGTAGTTCCCATGATCAACGTCATTAAAAGGTGTGTCTGAATGTCACATTTATACAGCTAACATTATTAGCTACTTAGAAAAGTTTCATCTTTCATGTTCTGTTTGTATCTTTTTGTGGATTAGTACTTAAAGTTTGAACTTACATTATACAACTATTTTTCAATCGTGCTGTAAAAACAGACCACAACTGCATTGTCTATTGTAGGTGTTTTCAAAAATTCAACAAGGACATTCTCTGCCTAGCCACATTCCTTGTTAATAAAATCACCTTTAAGGTCAATAGTTTATGTCAAATGAAAGTAAAATCTGATCATCACATTACTCTTTGTCGCACTTCAGTGGCTGCTGCATTTCCTGTACTACCAATAACTTTACATCAAAAGATACCTCTTTGACAATGAAAGCACCTTAGTTCATTCTAACTTTGTGAAAGATGCTAATGTAAATGCAAAATTTTTGGGGGGAATAGCTTGCTGGAAGACAACTTATAATGAGGGTGCAATTTGGCACAGCCAGAACGTCAGTCATACTAAAATGATGCTTCATATGCATAATTCACTGAAGTTCAAATTTCTAATTTCTTGCCAATAGAGAATAAAAATAAAAAAATGTTTGCATAAATCAAGTGGTAGCTCTCTCACCCAAGTCAAAAAGCTCTGGATTCAAGCCGCAGTCTAGGTTTTGAACCCACAAAAGCAGGCTGTCACTCCAGCTCCTTGCAGAGGGGCTGTCTGTGACATTATTCAGAAACCCTGTCCTTTCAGGAGTATGTAAAAGATTCCAGATCACTATTGTGAAAAAGCGGATGAATATTCTTAGTATTCTGGCCAATAGTCATCAAAAATATCACATGAAGATTATCTGGTCATTACAGAGTGATGAGAGAACTTGCTGTGCACGAATTGGCTGCTGCACATTACAAAAGCAAACCATTTTCCAAATGCAGTATTAAATAATTTACTGAGGTTTAATAAAACTGGTTCCTCAGGTGTTGGTATTATAATCACCAAAAAAAAGTACACCTTTTGATTTCATATTGAATCTGGTAGTAGCAGACTGGCCTTATGGGAGTAAGAAAGTTTAAAATTATATCTATTTGACTCCTGATTTGTTTGAAAAAATATTCAACTCCAGCTTAACCTTCTCACAGCCCCATGTTTAGCCTTCACTTTCTCTTCCCCATCCCCCATATTCCATCATCCCCGGGTCAATTGCTCAAACTTAACCAGATGCTCAAAAAACCTTATATCTGCTGTGCCCAGAGCAAGATTTAAACTGCATTTTCAAGGCCTCCTGCTCCTTAACTACTCCAAGATCTAACTATCTCTGCCCCCAAAACTAAAATACTTCCATTTGTACAATATCCACTTCTTGGCTTTTTCTGCCACCATACACAAATTCCCACATTGCCAATATCTAGCTGCCTAGAAGACAAAGTTCCATCTATTTTCTAGTGATCAGAAAATACCTTGCCAAAAGCCTTGTCTATTACACTGTTTTCTTGAACTTGTCCAGTGTAACCCACTTTGATCTTTCACGTCAAAGGAGATCAAAAGGTACATTAGGATTTTTGCTATGTTGTTGCATTTGGAATAAGCACTATTGTAACTCAATTGGCAACAAAAGAGCTTAAATGGTCATTTTACGGTCCATAATATGAGGTTAAAAGGTTTGATTTAAGCTGATTTTTGTTCAACATTGTTGATCATGAATACAATCAAGTGGAATTAAAAATTGATCCTATTCCAAACGGTTGAAAAACTGGGAACTATCTACAAACGTTTAAATCAATTAGCACAAGTTCCCACCAACTGTGGTTTTGCACAGTCTCATATCAATCTGCTTTGGCCATGTAATTTCTTGCAAAATATGCATTTTCTTTTTACAAGATTAATAGCTCCTTTACTGTTCAATTTAGTCATCCATGTCTATGCTTACAAGCTATTTTTGCGTTGTTTCACTTTCAAAATCAACAGTGAAAGACAGCTTGATTGTTGTACAAAGGAAGTCCGTTGAGTTTTTGGAATGGCTGATACCTCTGCATGTTGGCAGGGGGCAGCTCCAACCCAGTATTGCATTATTTAAAGCTGCCACAGACTAAGAAGAGTCTTCTGGCTGTGCCAAGTTACTTTCAGTTAATGCCATGATTGACCCTAAAAAGACATTTGAGAGGAGAGGTGAGGAAGTGGAAAAAGGTGGTTAATATATCAGAATCACTGAGGTGAATGGCTTCCAATTAAATATTATTTGATAGCTGCACTGAAGTTGGTGGATGACTTGGGCTCTTTACAAGAGTACTGCTTGAGATTGGTACCAATGAGAACTGGTACCACTAAGCATCGCCACAACAGATCACTGCCTCAAGAAAAGGCGGGGGATGGGAGGAATTCAAGATGAGTAGACTTTTTAAAGTCATATTTAATGTTGATTTTATCAAGATAAAATCAGCACAACAGCATCCATAAATATCCTGCCCAGCTCATTGTGAAATTTGTCATGCAATAGGGTTGTGACTACTCTCTGGTTAACAGCAGAATAAATAGATCAGTAAAAACATGGCAATGTTAGATTGAAGATGTCAAGGTCATAGTGGTGATCTTTTCTGACAATGCAGTTGTACATACTTCAGTAGAGTTGAAATAGCAGCCCTTTGGTTAAAAACAGCACATCCCTTATTCTGGCATAATAGGAACTGCCGCTGCTGGAGGCTGAGATTACACGTGTAGAGCTGGATGAACACAGCAGGCCAGACAGCATCAGAGGAGCAGGAAAGCTGACACTTCAGGTCTGGACCCTTATTCAATTGTTTTGTCCACCTTAATATTTGAGGACTACAGTTGCTAGACCAACAGCCAGCTAAATTGACAATTGACAAGTCTAAAACTGAATTTCAAATATTCCATCATATTTAAGTTCAAAGTACAATTCAAATGTGCTGTTATTTTGCAGGCAAATTTCCCATTTGTGTACTATGCAAAGGCATGATCACACTTCATTGAAGTTCAACTCAACATAAAAAGGTGCCAATACAAGTTTGTACAATGAATTCAAGAATCTTTATTAATATTTAAACATGTGATTTGCTCAGCATTTCAGTGTCATTGAGCAGGATGTTCAATAAATAATAAATACTCAGTGCATAATAAATTAAGGAATGAAAATGTCCAGCCACAAAATGTGGTGCAAATGTGTTTGAATTTTCAGTTCTCTGTTCAAAGAACTGAAGTCAGTTTAAATCAGCAGCATGAGCTGCATTTTAAAAAAGTGTCCTTACAACTTGCAAAGTCCAGGTATTCTTAATACTTTCAACTTTCACCTGCTGCATACTTTCCTCTTGCTTTTGGGAGCCACGACACATCCTGCTTTTTTGCAGGAATAAAATAATTTCTCCTTGCAGTGAAAATACTGACATTCCTCAGGCAGCTGCCACATTTCAAGTACTTGTCCCTTTAAAAATCAGTCCAATAAAGCAGGATTGTAAAATGCATCTGTCTGGTACCGGCCCAGCACACCAAACAAAATACAACTTCCTCGTACCGCCTGACAGATTGTTACCTTGGGTCAGTTCCAAACTGAACAAAGCCAAGGCAAAAAAAGTTTTGCATTCCAATTTTTAATTAAATCTTTGTTGCACCATATTCAATGCATATTCCATTCTGGTACGAAGTTCTTGTGAACACCCAGACATCAGCAATGTGGAGAGCTTGAATGTAGAAGAAACTCTATCTTCATTGATATACGTAAGGAGGTATTCCTCATTGTGGTTGCAAATAATTATTTTTGTATGATCGTGATAAAAGTTCACCTGAGAAAAAGTACAGAAAAGTTACTTAAAATGACTCTTCAGGACATGAATTACCTTGTTTCAATAAAATGGTCTACAAATTTCTCTAGATGCTAACTGATATTAATTTACTTCCAGCAAGTCATTTTTCCTTCATCTTGTGTAAATTTATTGTAGGTAAACCCAAGTAGTTACTAGTTCATAACTGGAGTACAAGTTATTAATATGGCTGATCTTTCTTAACCACAGGTTTAATTCATACATTCTGGTGAGGAGATTGTCAAACCACATATTACAACCATTTGCTAATATAGTATACCAGCAGTCTGAAACAAGATTTGTAATTCTATCTCCCTCCTGGGGAGGATGTCTCACCTTTTCAGGTACTCTGGCCAATAAGTCATTAATTAGATTAGACTTGCATCTGACTTGACAGGTTGCAGCTTAAACATGCTAGTACATACTGCCCCAAAAAGAATGTAATTCTCACCTGGAATGTGCCATCACTAAACAGCATCATCAGAGCACGATCAGATTTTAACCATTGAAGGAGACAGAGTTTGGGTTTCTGGGCATCTGTTGAACTGGGCAGATCACCACCCTGTAAAATATGATCAGAGCTGTTCATGATATCTGCTTTACAAAGTTTTAGTAAAAAAATGTACTGGTGGCTATACTAATCATTGAACAGAAGCAAAGGATGGTAGCAAGAGGCTTCAAAATTAAATACATATGGAGCAGGGATAGATATTTCTTGCAAGTTGGTATTACAAACTTAATGTTGCAGTCGTATAGGACTTTAAGAAAAGTATTAGGAGCAGGATTCTTGCTGAAACAGAAAGCACAACTCAAGGAACAAAAACATTTGGGTTTCTTACCTCCATTAGATTTTCTTCCATGTAGTGTGCAAAGTACTTCAGAATTGTCACTTGACTAATTAGTTTCTCAGGCACATCAAGTGTTGAAAAGATGGAACATTGGCCCAACTCTGCATAGTACTGAATAGTTCTGTGAACAGGAAATATATGCTGCAGGTTAGTACCTTAAGAGATACTGGTCCATTTGATTGAAAAGATAAAATCGAATCAGTTATTAGGCTACATACTTTTTGTCTGCCAATAGGCTCATATGAGTTCCATTATTGAAGAGGACTCCAACTGTGTGATCTGACAGCTGATACCCAAACCCGTACTTATTGGAATAATCCACCCATTTGGTGACCCACTGGAAGGAAAAACTCAATTGCCGTTTTGGCAGACAATCACCTGGAAAAGAAGCAAAAATTGACACTTACTTAGAATGCTCAAGTTGATAAATGGTCAATTCTGACCATCAAGTCCAGTACATTTCAAGAGAACTGTAGCAGTTCTTACCTTCTGGCATATTTTCAAGGCAGCCTTTTAGTACTCTTGCAACTGTGTCAGCAACAGTTCCCATGGTACTGTCTTCAAGAGCTACAAAAAGGAGGAATCATGTTAATATGTATAGAAATAGTCAACCAAACCATTTAGACTTTCAGAAGTAGTGAAGTTGGCACTGATTGCACTAAATATACTTCCACCACAAATAAAGCTTAATGGACTAGATTGCTCATTCATCTCTGCATTTAATAATGTTTGAGATTAGTTTCAATCTACTTACATTCACTACTACTGCTGCAGCTTCCCAAAGTTCCTCTCACTATCATCCTAATCGAATCTCTGATGTTTTGTTCATTGTCCTTTGCTGGTAAGGGGGTGTCTGGTTTGACATAGACAATTGGTGACTTGCTCAACAACCTTGACTCCTGTTTAAAAAGAAATCACAAATTTTAAGAGTTATGGATCCAAGCACCGATCAATCCTTACTGAAGTATCAATACATAACCTAACAAAAATCCATTCTCCTCAATTAGCCAAGTTGAGATCACCCTACCTCATCTGATCGACTTTTGTTGCTCAACTGGTTACTTAGTGACATTTTCTTCAAATCATTCTTCAGCTTGTATATTTCATCAACATCATCTTTTGCTAGTTTGTCTAAAAAAGGAAATACAAATTGTTTAGTGCACCAAAGCACGTGTTCAAGTACCAAAATTTGAATAATCGGTCAGGCATTTTCTAAAATTAAAAGGGAGATGACCAGAATATTTTTTATTCTGCCTTCAGTCATTGTTTTTGGTCATCAAATCAAAATAATTGATGCAGCATCATTTTTCACTTACTGTGACTATCCAAAAACTTGGCCTTTTCCTTCTTCCCACCAAATAGTGCTGCAGCTGCCTTTTTGAAGAAGCTCTTGGCAGGGCTGGACAAATGAAAATCTGGTGCATAGTGACAGCAGGTCTGCGACAGTCTCTCGGGTATAAATCCCTGCAAGAGAAAGCAAAAAAAAAGTTTACATTTGGCGTATACACAAATGTAAAGAGACTTGGAAGAAAAGTTAAAAAGGACACAAAAGTTAAACAATGAATTTGTGTAATGCAACAAACCTGAGTGAAGAAGTCATAACGCATGATATCATCTAAACTTGGCCGATCCTCTGGATTTCTTGCAAGCATGCTGGCTATCAATTGTTTGGCAGGTAACGACAGTGAAGATGGCATTGTATATCTCGCTTCTCTTATACATTTGTAAGTTTCTTTCAGGTTGGTTGTCTCAAAAGGGGGTCGCCCCAGTAGCATTGTATACCTTTAACAAAAAATTTTTTAAAAAATCAATTCCTCCATCAGCTCCATAATGTGAGCTAATTTGTTAAATGATTACATTGGGATTAATTTTAATCTTCAGTATTCCTGGAGCAAACCTCTTCATGAAAGAAAATTAGCCATATATGTGGCTATACTTGATAGGGAGGGAGCTCACATGGTTACCAAAAAGATCACAAGTTACCCCAATTGTGCTTAGAACATCCAAGCAAATTAAATGGCACACAAATACAATACTTACATTACACAACCTAATGCCCAGATATCAGATTCACAGCCATGCCCTTGTTTGTTGAGAACTTCAGGAGACAAGTAGTTTGGTGTGCCACAGATAGTCCTGCAAGGACAGCATAGGGGTTAGTACCAAACATAATCTCATAGTATTTTCCACAATCAAAACTTCAGATACATCTGGACTCCTTACCTGCTCCTTTGCTCCACTGGTTCCAGTTTTGCCGCTAATCCAAAATCTCCTATTTTCAGTTCCATGGACTCATTGATAAAGAAGTTTCCTGCAATTAACAAGCACAACTACACTTAAAATAGTATTAACAACCACGTTTTCCAGTTTTTTTTAAAAAAGAGATTGGAGACATTGATACTTTAACTATTATTCAATTTAATTCATAATTTCTACATACAGATGGAGAGATAAATTATGAAGCAACATAGTTATACCTAATTTGAGGTCTCTATGTAGGATTTCTTGCTCATGTAGACACTTCAGTCCTGATACTATCTGCCGGAGGTAGTACCGTACTTCTGGCTCTGTCAGCACCTTCCTAGCTTTCAGTATGTGAGCCATTGACTAGAAATACAAAGAAACAGTTAACAATGACACATCTTTTATAAAAAAGGCACAGGCAGATGTTGCACTTCAAGTTTAATTATCAGGGAGAAAGGATCAATACTTACTCTTCTGCTGCAGTGCTCCAACAGGATATAAATGTTTTCATTATCTTCAAAGTGATGGTAAAAGTGAACAATGTGTTTGTGGTGAAGCGTTTGGTGCAGTTCAATTTCTCGATCGATCTGTTTTTTTAAGAAAATATAAAAGTCAGACACATTTTGCTAGGAACACTTATTTTCCTTTGTTATTTGCAATTTAAGCAACCTCCAGATTTTGATCAAAGTGGCAACGTTGCCAACTTCTATTCAGGTAAATCGATAAAGTTACTCACCTTTTCTCTCTGATGGGGTTTGGCCACTCTCGAGTGCGGGATGATCTTTGCAGCATAAACACGGTTAGTAGTCAGGTCAGTCATCTCATAGCATTTCGCAAAACCTCCCTAAGCAAGAAAAGAATTCAAGAGTTTTTTTTAAGGAATATAAAAAACTCACAAGAACATTGAAGCTTTTGACTATACTGTCACCTAAAGACTAAAGAGATTACATTTTTGTATCAAATAAAGCTAGTTATTGCATTTAACACGCAGTGCTCATTGATAATGGCTTCTGCTGAAAAGCCTTAAAATACTAAATACTGCGGGCTGCATGAACATATTGTTCAATATGCAGCTAAAAATTCTATAGAGATGATCAAGTTGAACCTTTTGCAACGATTCATTCACTGATTGCCTTACAATATTTACAAATATTGTTCATTCAGTGTGCCTTCCATTTACACTCTCTACAAAAGCAATCTCTATTTACCTTTCCTAACACTTTTCCTCTGCAGTAACATTTGCCAGTTGCGGGGTCGGTTATAATCCGGGACATTTCTGTGTTGGAGTATGTTAACTCTCCCTGTCTTTTGTTGACACGGTGTTCGGCGGACTTGCCAAGGGGCTGTTCGCACATCTTAGAGTTTTGTTGGTAAGTAATAGTCCTCAGTAACTCCATTCCCACTTTCCAGCAGCACCCTCCACACTCTGAATGAAGCAGAACGCCGGCCGTGCAGTCTTTTATACCTTCCCCTTCCAACACGTCACAATGACATTCACTGCATGCTCTCGTTACAGCCCTACCACACCGATTCGTCGTTCTGATTGGCTAAAGGGCATATCAATCATTCCACCTCAAGACTTGATTGGACAGAATCTGCGCTGGATGGACGGACTATCAACCTGGAGAGGTATCAATGACCTTAATGACAGCAAGTACTGTACTCTGTACAAACAAGAGTCATCACTGGATGGTGCTTTCATTATATTGGAATACATAACTTACAATATTCAGTTCATCTCCCTGTCTGTACACTCAATAAATTTGTATTTGCAAAAAATGGAGGTGGGCGGAGGGTTTGCATTTTTGTTCGAAGATCGCCTGTCTGTAATATATGTCCAGTCCGTCTTATTGCAACTTTATCAATCATCTCACAGCCGTTATTGTTTCCATTTGTCTCCAAACCTCGGTTTTATTTCCCAACGCGTTGTTAACCACCGTTTCTAAAGCCACCACATACAAATTCATGTCAGGCTGCTACAGTTTATCAGTTACTTTATCTGTAGAACATATTCCTTTCCATTTGCACATATCAAACTGTCATTGTGCGTTTCCATAACTGTTATTTTGTAACGACACAGCAAGTAGCCAGACACGCACTCACTCGATGATAAACAGTTTATGGTTTTACAAGGGGGAAAAATGAGACCAGACAAATAACTGCTTTGCATTTATTCAAGACCGGGTACATTTGTGGTTTTACAATAAGTGGATCAATTCAAAGCGAGACAAATCAGAGATGTTACTATAAATCCATTAATTGTGAGATTCATCATTGCCTTGCACAAGCTAAAATGACGCCGTGTTCTGGTTTTCAGGGAACTCCTGGAAATGTCTCCAGCAATATAATTCTTACAAAGTCAAAGAAAGATTGAGTAAAAGGTAGAAGTCTTCATTCAAAAACGTGCCAATTTCATTTTGATCAATGTTATTCAAAATTTGTACGGCAATGTTTACATCCAGTGTTCTGTATTTTAAATTGTGAATCTACTTAGCTCGATAACAACATTTATAAATTCAGTCTTCTAGGGTTTGTGACAACAGAACACATTTGATTTTTGGTGAAATTGATGTATGTCGACGAGGTAGAAACATATCACACAGAAATCAGGAAATATACCGTCACTTCGTGAAACGATGTGCGATGTAGTTTATTCGTACAGAGCGCCACCAAATGCTCCCACATATGAAATACAGCAGCAGTTACATTGAGTCTGCGATATTGGTAGGTTTGATAAGGATCAACGTTTGTTTAGCTCCACCTGTCGGACAAATGTCAGTCTGAAATTTGCGATAAAAAATTGCAATTGCTGGAAACAGAGATAGTAAGAGCTGCCGATGCTGGAGTCAGAGATAACACAGTGTGGAGCTGGAGGAACACAACAGGTCCGGCAGCGTCAGGGGAGCAGGAAGACTTTCCTGCACCTCTGACGCTGCCTGGCCTGCTGTGCTCCTCCAGCTCTACACTGTTATCTCTTATAATTGCTGGAAACAATTGGGGTTTGGCAGCTTCTGTGGTAGGGGAAATGAATTAACGTTTCAGATGCGCTGAAATGTGTAACTCCTATGATGCTGCTTGGCCTGCTGTGTTCATCCAGCTCTACACCTTGTTATCTCAGATTCTCCAGCATCTGCAGTTCCTACTATCTCTAATGCAAACATATAAGATGTCTCTAAATTGAGAAATGGAGGCCTTAGATTCTCTCTCGATTACAGCTTTGAGTAGATTACATTGATTAAAATGGTGCCTCCAACTGTCCCACTCATCCTTACCAATTTGTTAATTTGGGTCATGGGAATATTGGGTGGCTTTGTGGACAATGGCAGCTCCAAGTCTATTTTGAGGGTGGGAAGAGAGGGGAACAAAAGAGCAATGGCAGCTTACAATATTTTTGTGGAGACTCAAGGAGCAGTTGAAGACGTGACAGCTTAGTGGTATTATCGCTGGACTGTTAATCCAAAGACCCAAGTAATGTTTTGGGGATCTGGGTTTGAATCCCATCAAGGCAGATGGTAGAATCTGGAATTAAGAGACTAATGATGACCATGAATCCATTGTCAATTGTCAGAAAAGCCCATCTGGTTCACTATAATGTCCTTTTTGGAAGGAAACTGCCATCTTTACCCATCCTGGCCTACCCAAAACAATGTGGTTGACTCTTAACTGCCCTGTGGGCATTTAGGGATGGGCAATAAATGCTAGTCTAGACAATGACATCCACTTACTGTGAATGAATAAAAAAGTTGTAGATCCACAAAGTAAGATGGTGGAAAGTAGTCACTGGGCTAGTATTTCATAGACCCGGGCTTATGCTCTGGGGACTTGGGTTTGAATGCCCTCACAGCAGAATACAACTAATAAATTTAGAATTAAAAGCTAGTCTAACGGTGACTATCGTCGAGGTTGGTTGGCTCGCCGAGCTGGTTTGTTGTTCCACAGACATTTCGTTACCATGCTGGGTAACATCCTCAGTGCAGCCTCTGATGAAGCGTCGGTGTGTTCTCCTGCCTGGTTTTTAAACTGTGGGGTCCCTTCAGATGGATTGCCTCACTTCCGGTTTTCCTTCGTAGTGGAATGTATATGGGGTCGAGTTCAATATATTTATTAATAGCATGCTTTGTGGAGTGCCAGGCTTCTAGGAATTCTCGTGCCTGTCTCTGCCTAGCTTGTCCCAGGATTTTTTTGGTGTTGTCCCAGTCAAAATGGTGGTTCTCCTTATCCACGTGGATTGAGATGAATGAGTACTGGTCGTGTCTTTTTGTAGCCAATTGGTGTTCATGTACTCTTGTTGTTAGTTTCCTTCCTGTTTTTACAGTGTAGTGTTTCTCACAGTCTCTGCAGGGGATCTTGTAGATGACATTGGTCCTGTCCATGGCGGGGAGTGGGTCTTTAGTTCGGGTGAGCAGTTGTTGTAGGGTTGATGTGGGCTTGTGTGCCACTCTGACACCCAGCGGTCGTAGGAGTCTTATGGTGAGTTCTGACGTGTTCCTGATGTAGGGTAGTGTGATGAGTGTGTCGGGGCATGTAGTATCTTTATGTAGGCACCAACATCAGAAAGATACTACATGCCCCAACACACTCATTACACTACTCTACATCAGGAACACGTCAGAACTCACCACAAGACTCCTACAACCACTGGGCATCAGAGTTGCACACAAGCCCACGTCAACCCTATGACTACTGCTCACCCGATCAACCTCAACACCCACAAACCGAGCTACAAATCTACTCCAAAACCTTAGAGTGACTATTGTTGCTGATTGTTGTAAAATCTCATCAGGTTCAATATTTTCTGAAGGACAATCTTACATTCTCATCTCCTAGCTTTCATGTGACTTCAAATGTGGAGCAATGTGGTTGACTCTGAAATACTCTCAAAAATTTCCAAGCAAGGCACTCAGCTATATTTAACTGTTACAAAGTATGCTAAAAGGCATGAAACCAGACGGATCACTTGGCATCAAACAAGGCATTGGAAATGACAATGGCACACACAGTCCACTCGACCTAGCAAAGTTCTCTTCACGCACATCTGGGCCATTGTCAAAATTGAGACAGCCTGACATAGTCATACTCACACTCACACACAGTATGCCAGATTTCACCTCCACTGCTGTAATATGAAACAATGAACTGCAGGTGCTGAAGATCTGAAACAAGGACAGAAAGTGTTGGAGAATCTCCGCAGGTCTGGTAGCAACTGTAGAGAGAAAGAAAGAGTTAATGTTTTGAGTCCAGTGACACTTTGTCAAAACTGAAAGCAGTTAGGAAATGGTGGGATCACCATCACTATCCCGGGGCATGTTTTGTCCACCAGCAGAAGAGACCAACTGGAAATGGGGGCACAGTGGTACGCAGTCAGGGAGTCCTCACTATTGACAACAACAACAAAAACAGAAGTTGCTGGAAAAGTTAAACAGGTCTGGCAGCATCTGTTAAGAAAAATCCGGTGACACTTCCTCAGAACTGAAACAGCAGAACAGCATCTGCAGTTCTTTAGTTCCTCACCATTGACTCTAGACCCTGAAGTCTGGCATCAGGTAAGACATGAGTAAGGAAACCTTCAGCTGATTACCTCATACATCCCTCTCCCACCTCATCCCCCACCCCACCCATGTCAATTGATGAATCAGCACCTGTCCATTTTGAACACCTTCTGGAGGGTACACTGAGGGTAATAAGAACAGAGCATGTCCTTTTCAATGTCCATCTCCAAGGGACAGGTCTTAAAGGGGATGGCTGGTGATAGGACCTACAGCAGATAGTGAGGGGACCAACAAAAAGGGAAACATACTTGACTTCACTCGCACCAATGTAAGAGTAAAAGGTGTATTTTGCTTCACAGTAATGACAAAGTGACCACAGCTCAGTCCTTGTAGAGAAGCACTGTGAAAAAATTGCAGAGGTATATTGTGTTCGCAAAAAGCAGGAAAAATCCAACCTTACATCTGAGCAATCTATTCTCATTCATCAGCAAAATGATGAAAAGTGCTATGAAGAGGCACTTACTCCATATTAACCTGCTCGTTTGCACCGAGTTTTGCTTCTGCCAGGCCCAGCTTCTGACATCATCAATGTTATGATCCCAACTGATGGATAATTCAGATCCCAGAATGAAACCTGGCTTGATGTATCAGTTTTATAAAGAAAATTAGTTCAGTGGTCATTCACTGAAACATAAACACATAAGGCGGCGTATTTCCTTTAACAATGAAACAGTAGTTTTTGACACAAAAGGAAAAATTAAAACAAACTGAACTAGAACACAATTTGAAACATTTTTAATCACACAGAAAAACATCTTATCTATGCCCCAACACTGTTTCAAACAATTGCAAACAGAAAAAGTACCTCTCTATCTCAATTCTTTAAGTTCAACTCAACTGATTCTTCCAAGTTATTTCCTGTGAACTATGAAGACC